TGAGAGTGGCGCCACCCCTTTGTACGCCGCAGCTTGCACCGGACAGTTTGAGCTTGTACGGCTTCTGCTGGAGGCCAATGCGGACAAGGACAAGGCCGAGAATGATGGCGGCACCCCTTTGCACGTTGCAGCTCAGGAAGGACAGTTGGAGGTTGTACGCCTTCTGCTGGAGGCCAACTTGGACAAGGACAAGGCCGATGAGCTTGGCGCCACCCCTTTGTACGTCGCAGCTCACACCGGACAGTTGGAGGTTGTGCGACTTCTGCTGGAGGCCAAGGCGGACAAGGACAAGGGCCAGCGCTTTGGCGCCACCCCTTTGTACGTCGCAGCTTTCACCGGACAGTTGGAGGTTGTACGGCTTCTGCTGGAGGCCAATGCGGACAAGGACAAGGCCGAGAATGATGGCGGCACCCCTTTGCACGTCGCAGCTCAGAGTGGACAGTTGGAGGTTGCGCGACTTCTGCTGGAGGCCACAATGCGGACAAGGACAAGGAAAATGAGGGTGGCGCCACCCCTTTGTACGTCGCAGCTTTCACCGGACAGTTGGGGGTTGTACGGCTTCTGTTGGAGGCCAATGCGGACAAGGACAAGGCCGAAGAGAGTGGCGCCGCCCCTTTGTTCATCGCAGCTCAGGAAGGACAGTTGGAGGTTGTACGCCTTCTGCTGGAGGCCAACGTGGACGAGGACAAGGCCGATGAGAGTGGCGCTACCCCTTTGTACGTCGCAGCTATTAATGGGCAGTTGGAGGTTGGACGGCTTCTGCTGGAGGCCAATGCGGACAAGGACAAGGCCGAGAATGATGGCGGCACCCCTTTGCACGTCGCAGCTTGCACCGGACAGTTGGACGTTGTACGGTTTCTGCAGGAGGCCAATGCGGGACAGGGAAAAAGGCCACGAAGGATGGCCGCACCCCTTGCCCTTTGATAGTGGGAATTCAGAATGGGCACTTGGAAGTCGCATGCCTATGGCACACACACACACACCCATGCCAACTCGGCGACTGTGTTCCTAGTAAAAGCATATCCCATATGCTAAAGAGCTTCACTAGGTCACTAGGTGTTGGTTGGGCATGTAGTCTCACAGTGGCTGTGCCTGTGGACAGCACACCTAGGTTCCCCAGTAGTACCCGTTTGCCCTTTTTGGTTATGGGGCCCCTTATTAAACCCAAAGAGTAGGAAAAAGGGTGCCCCTATTGTTAGTGGTCTATACTTGGGAACCTAGACAATGGCTGTGCCTGTAGATAGCACACCTGCGGCAGAGGCGGTGGAGCCGCACGCTGCGGCGTCGAGTTTTTTCCTTTGCCTGATAGTGCCGGGGTGCGGCTTAGCCGCGTCCTGTGCTGCGGCTTTCTGCTATCGGGGGGGTCAAACCCTAAACCCTAAACCTTAAACCCTTTTAGTCCACGTGCCTTTAGGGACACGGTTTTTTCCCACCTCGAGCACTGTGGCTCATGTACATGCCTTGACCATGGCATCCGAGCACTCCAAAAAGGAGGCCGACTTTAAGCCACATGTAGTTAGGGTTTAGGGTTTAGGGTTTAGAGCAGGATACCTCCTGAAAAAGGGTATGGTATCACCCTCCAGATAAACTTTTACGGAAACCAAAAGGCCCCGCAGCCCTCATAGAGCCTTTACGGAACCCTGACAGAAGCCCTGAACAATTACCAGTTTGATTTCTTACAACTCCGTATTTCAAGAAGGACCAAAAGCTGTATTCCAGAACCCTGTCATGCTTACGAGGGCAAAGCAGGAATCATAAACCCAAGCCCTTAAATCTAACACACGTAAACACTCAACTCTCAACCCTATATACCCTAAACCCTCAACCCG